AGGAATTCGCCGTCGTCTTCTGGTGGAACCGACCTTCGAATCTCTTCACCCAACATTTTTACTCGAAATGAAAGTAAGCTCAACAATTCAACAGTCTTCCTTACGCGACAATCCTCCTTCGGTTCCCGGTGAAACCACATCACAAATTGCTTCCAACCAACTTTCCCTTCGAAAATGGAGAGTCATGCCACATGCTTGTGTATGTTGGCCTAAGCATACACACAACCACTTTATATCACCCCTCAATTCATTAATTAATACCAAATGAACGATTTAATGACGAATAACGGTCAAGTATATTTACACTGTCCTGGCTTTGGAATATACAATTCAATGTGCCGCAGGCACAAAGGGTGTCTATGGTGCCCACCGGACTTGAAACTATGGTTTCCAATTTTTAATACTTATTATTAATACATGTTTCCCATTTTTACTTCAGATGCGGTGTTCATCTGCAATATGGCCTGTGTCAAGCAACTCGTCGACCTCCCGGCTCTGGCTGCGGCCCTCGAATCTGAGCACTTGGGTGGACTGGCAGTCTATGATGCCGAGGCAGACAACACCCCTTGTACGTTATTCCGTCAGGTCTCAATATATCTAAGAGCATTTGAGTGTACACACCAACACACAGAAACGCACATGCACAATTTCTATTTACACAATATACTTTTCCATCCTTATTCGTGGAAGAAGTATAGCAGTCGGTGGAGCCACTTCAAGAAGAGTAAAAGGGCTCCTGATGCCTTCGAGATTGAGAAAGCCGGATGAATGACGAAGCCCAAAAAGGTCAACCACCATTTTATGCACAATGTACGATGCTGTAGCAGGCACTTCTCGGACTTTACAAGCGGACATGCCTCTAGACCCTGCCGAACATCCGTGATTAAGGCAAAGATGAGCAAATCTGGCTATGGAACAAAAGAACAAAATATATGATTTCATAGTCGTATTTGAGTAGGGTTTCGAGACTACCAGTAAATCCGTGTAATGAGATGTATTCACCCTATTTCGTCTA